AAAAAAAAAAAAAGACTGACTTCAAGTTTGAACAGTGTGCCTCAGTTGCAAGTCTGAAGTCATTAAATGAAGAATACCCATATTCTCAGTTCACTCCCCTAGTACCCAAAAGTAGAGATCATCGTTCTGTGTTGGCCTTGTGTTTTCAATCCTGAGAAACATTAAAATAGTGACAACAGAGCTGGATGTGGTGACACATGCCTATAATCCCAGCACTTGGGAAGCTGAAGCAAGAGTTTAAGGCCAGTACGGGCTAAATAGTTCGGAGTATGTAGCAAGACCTTGTCTCAAACCAAAAAGAAAAAGAAAATAACCCAATTGTAGTGTTAAATTTACATACAAAAAATAAGGACTAACTGAAGAACAAGATGTAATGATTTCACAAAGAAGCAACAAAAAACTGATTTGTTCGCTAAAGTTCACCAATATTAATGTGTTTTTTCGATTTATGAAAGCACTTCTCTCTTTCAGTGTTGTAACTTTCCTAGTCTTTTCATGCATTTCATGTGCATTTTGTTTTGTTTTACTGTGCCCGGCTGGCCTTGAATGAAATACGTTCCTGCCTCAATGTCTTGTGTGCTGGGGTTCTGGGGTGTATTACTTTTCGAGTATGTGGAGATTATGATGAAATCTAAAATCCAAGCCAGAAATGGTGGTACTTGGGAGGCTGAGGCAGGAGGATCACCAAAAGTTAAGGCCAGCTTAGGCTACATAGTGACTTCATGGCCAGCCTGAACTACAAAATGAAACTGTGTCACAGAAAAATAAATAGGGGGTCGGGGGGATGGCTCAATGGAATAAGCGCTTCCCTGGCAAGTGTAAGGACCTGAGTTCAATCCCTGGTTCGCCAAAAAAATAAATAAATAAATAAATAAATAAACAGAGCCAAACGTGGTGGTGCACACCTGTGATCCCAGTACTAAGGGATTCTGAGGTATGAGCATCACAAGTTCAAGTCCTACTTAGGCCACTTTGACACTCTCCAACTTTTAAAAATGAGGATAGGGGATATAGTTTAGTTTTAGAGTACCCCTGGGTTTGTTAGTACCAACAAAATAATTAAAAAGAATAAGATAAATACTTGTTTATTGCTTATACCATATAAAAGTTTATAAAATCAGTTCCAGAGTATGAGTGAGACAGAGGCCAAAACCACAAATGCACCAATGTGTGTGTGTGTGTGTATGTATGTGTGAGTAAACTGATGATTTGTGTGGAATACATTAGGATTTTGGGGGTTTTGTTTTTGTGGTTGTTTGGGGTTTGTTTTTTTTATTTTAGTTAAGGGTCTACAGGGTGTTCCTGGTCTCACTACTAGATCGGACTGGTAGTGATCCATCTGTTTATAACCTCCCAAGAGCCTGTATTACAGGTATGCACCACCACACCCAGTCTTAATTATATCTCAGCACGCCCCAGGGGTGGGGCTGGCACAGCAGGCCTAGGGATTGAACCCCCAACTCCTACGCCTGCTTGCAGGTGCTTTAATCCGCTGAGCTGTTTGGCCGGCCCTACATTAAGATTTTGGTGAATCCATTTACTTTGATTTTCTATCAAGCAAGAAATTCCAGTCTTTAGTTACCAGTGTTATCTTAATTCTTACTTTTTTTTTTATTAGTTTTATTGAGAAAGAAATAACAATGAGACAGTTTCAAAACAGGTTAGTAGGACAGTTACGTTGCGTATTGTTGTCTTTATAATAGTTATTCATAATGCAAGACGCAGATATGATATCTTGTCTAAACACTTCTAGTACAAATTTTTCTTCTCATTGAATTAAGAGAAAGTAGCTGTATATATAACTTAATTTCCATATACATATATGTATATATATTTTTTTCCCACTCCAAAATGGTCCTTCATTTATATCCTCCTTTTTTATTTAGTTTTGTCAGAGATGGGTATTCCATCCCCATTCAAACATTGTAGGTGCATGAATTTAGAAAAATAATCCAGTATAGTCCAATAGACCATAATAGTAGTAGGTTATCTGCAGAACTGGCAATGCCAGAAGTTGTTGATTTGAACCTTTTACAGCTCAGCATATTAATACAGCTTTACATTTTATACCTCATGTTTATACTTCTCTGCTGGATGGTTAAGACCAAGATAAATGGTGGTGCACACCTGTAATCTTAGCTCTTGGGAGGCTATAAATAGGGGATCACTTCGAGTCCGATCTAATAGTGAGACCCTGAACACCCTGTTATGTAGCCCAGGCTGGCCTTGAACTTGTAGTAACCATTTTGCCTCAGCCTCCCACTGATCTTTTATTTTTCAGGTGATTAATTAAAACTTTGGCATATTGTTAAATACTTTTTTTAAAAATTACATCAATCTGGTTTAAATGTGGAAAAGCCAGTCTACAGATTTCTTTTGAATAGAAGCATATGGTTTTAAAAAACTAGACTTAGTTTGGGACACAGCAGTACAAGCAGCTGCCTGGTAAGCACAAGGTCCTGATTTTGATTCCCAGAAAAAAAAAAAAAAAAAAATTGCTAGGCTTTAGTCAGACATGAAGGCATATGACTATAATTCCAGTTCCTTATAAGTCTGAGCAAGAACATAGAGCCATCTCAGAAAAAGAAAAGGCTAGGTCAGGAGGATGGCTCAGTAGAATAAGCACTGCCCTGGCAAGTGCAAGGGTCTGAGTTCAATCCCCAGTTCGCCAAAAAGAAAAGGCTCCAGAAGGGTGAACTATATTACATTAGATGTTATCCAAGTCATCGGCCTAAACTCATATAAAGTACTTAAGGTAGATTAATTCTGTTTCTGAAGTTGTTTGTTTGTTTTAAATTATTTATTTATTTATTTATTTATTTATTTATTTATTTATTTATTTATTTTGTGTGTGTGTGTGTGGCCAGCTCAGCCCACCAGGGGGCAGGGCTAGCTGGCATGTGGTGCTGGGGGATTGAACCACGGTCCCTGTGCTTTGTTTAGCTTAGCTTGTTCTAAGTAGGTGCTTTAGACCACTGAGCCATCTCACCAGCCCCTCTGAAGTTTTTCTGTATAGTAGTTTTCTAAATGTATGTGGTAATTCTCCCCAACATTTAAGCAGCATTTAGAAGCCAGCCTTTCATTACAGGGCTCTATGTGGCATTTAGATCCTAACTATATTGGCTTAATACCCTCAGACTTACTCTTGAGACTCTGCCTAGCATAGTCAGAATGAGATTTATGGGGCTGGGGAGATGGCTCAGTGGAATAAGTGCCTCTCTGGCGAGCGCAAGGGCCTGAACTCAATCCCCAGTTCCCAAAAAAAAAAAAAAAAAAAATGAGATTTATGCTCTGTAGTGAGAATATTGAATGTGAGTCTGAAAAACACAAATGTCACCTTGAAGATGTGATATTCTTCTTAGCATTTTTTTTGTACAGAAAATCGAACTCAGGACTTTGTAGTTGCCAGGCAGGCGCTATGCCACTAAGCTATATCCCCAGCATCTTTTTAGCATTTATAGGAGTCAAATTCTGTAACACAGCTAAGCTATACACATCATTTATTCTGTGTTCATAGAAGAAGAAATTGACTTTCTTTTTTTTTTGAGGGGGAGCAGACTTGGGGATTGAAGTCAGGCCCCTGCACTTGCCTGGCAAGCGCTTATTCCACTGAGCCATCTCCCCAGCCCCTGAAGAAGAAGAAATTGAACAGGAATTTTTTTTTTTATTATTTTTATTTTAGACAGGGTCTTGTTCAGACTGGCCTCAAACTTGTGATGATCCTCCTGCCTCAGCCTCCTGAGTGCAGGCATGTGCCACCATACACTAAACAGGAATTTTTAGTCACACATGAAGTTGTTTTCCTCATGTATAGATCAATTTTAATATCAAATTATAAGCTGGAGAGATGGCTCAGTGGTCTAAAGCACCTACTTAGAACAAGCTTGGCAAAGCACTGGGACCACGGTTCAATCCCCCAGCACCACATGCCAGCCAGCCCTGCCCCCTGGTTGGCTGAGCTGGTCTCACACACACACACACACACACACACACACACTAAATAAATGTAAAAAAAAAAAGAAAAAAATATCAAATTATAAAGTGAGCATATAATGGGAGACTAGTTTAAAAATTATTTAGTTCTACCTTCTTGTTTTGACATTGCTGGGTACTGAGTGTCTTCTTATGTTATTTGTGTCTTTGTGGAATGGTACCTGGGAAAACCTAAGAGCTCAGGAAATGTTTACTCAAAGAATAAAATTTGGGCCAGCCAGATAGTTTAGCAGATTAAAACACCTGCTTAGGCAGATGCAGGGGCCAGGGATTCAATCCCCAGCCTGCAGTGACAAATGAGCCTGGGCATGGTGGTATATGCCTGTAATCCCAGCACTTGGGAGGCTGAAAACAGGAAGAATCACCAGAAGTCCGATCTGTGTAATGAGACCCTGTAGACCCTGTACTAAATACATTTTAAAAAAAGAATAAAATATATCAGTGAACTGACTTGCTGAAAATCCTAGTGGCAAGATAGTATTTGATCCCAGCCTCCTCATTTTTTATCCTATGCTTTTCTCCCAATTTAATGTTGCTTCTCATTTGGGAAGGGTTATTTTACTTGACTGAGTAGTGACTTGCAAGCTTTAAGTTTCTGACCCTCATTCTACTTGTCAGGTATTTAAACTTAAAGGAAAACAGTTGAAATAGGTGTTGAGTTTGATTCCCAGTATGGGGGCGGGGGCTGGGGGAGAGAGAGGGAAAGAGATAAATATCTTGTGTTTTGTTTTCCTGTAGAAGACTTACACTGAACCTTACAAACACACATATAGGCATGCACACACATACTCATGCACTCACTCATCAGTGGTACTAGAAATTGAACCCAGTACCTTTAACTATGCTTCATCCTGGTCCTTTTGTTTTTTTGTTTTTTTTTTGTTTTTTTTGTTTTTTTTTTCAGAACCGGGAATTGAACTCAGGCCCTTGCACTTACCAGGCAAGCGCTTATTCTACTGAGTTATCTCCTGGGCCCCTGATCCTCTTTTGAAAACTTTATTTTGAGGCAGGCTTTCTCTAAGTCATTATGATGACCGGGCTGGGCTGGAACTCACAGTCTTCTTCAGCCATCCACCCAGGGTGCTGAGTTCTTTGTATGATACAGTTAATGTAGTTCATTATAATAAAATAGACAATTTAGGGGCCAGGGATATGGCTCCATGGAATAAGTGCTTCCCTGGCAAGCACAAGGATCTGAGTTCAATCCTTGGTTCCACAAAAAAAAAGACATTTATCTCCTTTGGTTGGTTGGTTTGTTTTTAAGCAGGTCCTGGCTGTGTAGTGCAAGCTAGCCTTGAATTCACTGTTTAGACCACGCTGGCCTCAAAGACTACACAGCTTTTTTTTTTTTTCTTGGTACGTGGAATCAAACTCAGGACCTTGCACTTCCAACGCAGTTGCTGTACTGCCTAGCTATATCCCTGGCAGCACATAGCTTTTTTTTTTTTTATTTATATATTTAGTATAGGGTCTACAGGATCTCACTATACAGATCACAAACTCATAGTGATCCTCCTGTTTTCAGCCTCCTAAGGGCTGGGATTACAGGCACCTGGCCACCACATACAGCCTATTTCATGGTCTTAGCATGCCCCAGGAGCGGGATTGCGAGTGGGGGGTTTGGGGGGTAGCACAGCTCACTGGGGATGGAGCCCCAATGCAGGCACTTTAGTCCACTGAGCTCACAGCTTTTAAATGTGTAGTTCTGTTTTGATTTGCTTTTTTCTGTTAGTATTTTCATGCTTTTTACTTTTAGCACAGATCTCATTTCTTTTTGTTTTTTTTTGAGACAGGGTCTCACTATATAGTTCAAGCTGGTCTTGAATTTGTGGTGATCCTCCTGCCTCAATCTCCCAAGTGCTGGGATTACAGGTGTGTGCCACCATGCCCAGCTTCATTTCTTTTTTGTATAATACTTCTTTCCTCATCCAAAATTCACTCCCATCTCACCTACTTAAGAAGTAGGACTGCTTGCTAAATCCAGTTTGTGCCTGTGACTAACTATCTGTCTATGTTTATGTTGCAGTTCTCAAAAGCAGAGTTTAGAGCTTACCAGTGATCTCAGCATTCTTCAGATGACTAGAAAAGAGCTTGAAAACCAAGTGGGATCCTTGAAAGAACAGCATCTTCGGGATTCAGCTGATTTAAAAACTCTACTCAGTAAGGCTGAAAGCCAAGCAAAGGATGTACAGAAAGAGGTAAAGCGAAAAGACATTATGAGCCAAATTGTGGTTGGACTTAAAGCCAAAAGCAAATCCGATGTCCATGCTAGTTAGAAATGAAAGGAAGTACTAGTTAGATTGCCTGTCACAGAGCTGATGCTTGGAATATCCCTGGTTGGTGATCTCTATAGCTACGTATTCTGGGCCACAAATAGTCTTCACTAGTGTAAAGTTTGTTCTCAAAAATAAAAGTATATAAAATTATGTTTTAATTTTTCTCTACCAGTTAATTGACATATATAAGAAACACTTTATACTAGAGTACTTGACCCATTGCTTATCTTTCAAAGAAAGTATATTTAACTTATAATACTTCTGAAAACCGGACTGGGCCACATCCTCTAGAGAATCTGGCCTAATTACTTAAAATTCACTTCATAGCCAGCCTGCCAAACCCAGTGTTCTGTGACCCTTTATTTTCTCCCTTCTTCCCCTTTTCCCTTCTTCACAAATATATGCGGTCAGTTTTTATGTCATTTTGCTTAAATCTTTGACCTGGGTGGCTTTTTCAAAAGTATTTAAAATGGTGAAGGTTAACATGCCTGGCGCTCCCTGAACCGAATGGGACTCTTTCCTTGAAGATGCAGCAGAGCAGGGAGCTCTGTTTGGTCTTGCAGGCTTCCTCCCACTGCTTGCATTGTCTCCTGGCTGGCTCTCACGATGGGGAGGGCTGGGAGAGCTTATTTTCCCACCAGGGACCACCCCAGTTGTTGGCTCACTTAAAGGAACAATTCTTTAAAAATTAGAAGTTGAAGGCAGCTCTCTGTCATTAATAATGAATTTTCCCAAAATTGTCTTAAGGACATGTATTTTAACTAATGCAGTTTTTCTTTGCACTTTCCTTTCCTTGTAGTATCCTGAATTTGAAAGTGACTATTGTTCTTCTGTCTTCATGTTTGTTCCTAAAGAAAAAAAGTGTAACATTTTTTATTTTTGTGTAGACATATTGTAATATGTTTGTCTTTACCTTGCTAAAAATATGTGTTTTAGGAAAAGCCTCATTTTATTAGTCAGAACACAAATTCTGTGCCAAAGTAAATAGCCTAGTATTCAATACTGTAAGCACTTTGTGTCCTTCCAGTGCATATGCTATAATTCTTTGAAAATCTGGGAAGAATGTGTGGTTTGTGCCGGGAATGTAGCTCAGTGGAGCAGTGCCTGCCTGGCAGTGCAAGGTTCTGAGTTTGATTCTTGGTGTCAAAAAAAAAAAAAGAATGGTGTGATGGGAAGACAGTTCTCTTGTATGTTACTATAGATGCACTTAGCTATTTTGTTGCATTATTTGCTTGCCTGTTTTAAGACACTGAGCAATTTAGTGCACAATGCTTAATTGTTTTCACAAATGGCAGTGACATGTTGTCATAGCATCTAAAGTGGATGGTTTTTGGAATGCATTAAATGCAGCACATTTAAAAATATGTGTGAGATTGTCATTATGTTTCTTTCCTATTTTCTTGTTCACTGTTTTCCATTGTGAAATGATGTATAGTCATCGTATTCTTTTGTACTGTGAAATTATTCTTTCCATTTGTCCCAGTATCAACTTGCTAGATACCTGTCTTAACTAAATATTCTTTAATGAGGTTCTTATTTCTGTATAATCCACTGCAAATGATTTATTTTTTATTAATGCACATTTATTCCCTTTCAATATTTCCTCTATATTCTTCTTTCGCCCAGAGAACCATATTTAATATGCAGTGTCATGATGTATCTTCAGCACTAACAGGCAAAGCTATTACAAGCCAAACACTGACAGGCTATTACAAGCCCAGATATGATAATTTTTGTGAAGACCGAAGGTGTGGGTAATTTCAAGTGTTATTTCACTCTTGATCAGAACTGAGCTGGTTTCCTACCTCAGTTAGAAAGCAAGCTCGAGGGGCCAGGGAGATGGTTCAGTGCAATAAGCACTTTCCTGGCAAGCGCGAGGGCCTGAGTTCAATCCCCGGTTTCACAAAAAAATAAAAAAATAATATATATATATATATATTGGGGCTGGGGAGATAGCTCAGTAGAATAAGCACTTCCCTGGCAAGTGCAAGGGTCTGAGTTCAGTCCCCAGCTCTGCAAAAAGAAAAAAAGAAAGCAAGATCAGGCATAAATGATATCCAACCAAGGTATGAAATTAAGGCTTAGGGGCCAGGGAGATGGCTCAGTAGAATATGTGCTTGCCTGGCAAGCACAAAGGCCTGATTTCAATCCCTGGTTCCACACAAATAAAAAAGAAAGAAAGAAATTAAGGCTTAAAAAGATGACCATTGTTCCACTATTAAATTTTATACATGTGGCAACTCTTTTTTTTTTTTAATATGGAAGAGCTCTTATATGAATATTTAACAAAGAAAAAGTGTAAGAAAAGTATCTTTTAATCCTCACATTGGTTCTGTCATATTTGATTTTAAAACCATCTATATATTTATGTTAGTAGAAATCTCTGTAATTTAAGAGCTCGTTTAACATTGAGCCCACAAGTCTGCCCAGCAAGGACTGATTCAGAGAGTTGTGTGGCTTTACCATCTTGCTGTGTGGTAAGCAGCAGGATCTTTTGATGAGCCACCTTCCTGTGCTTCTGCTTCACAGCTCCTACAGTAGAGAAGTGCTTAATGCTTTGGAATAAAAGGCAGTCTGGATATAAGAATAGTGGGAAAAGAAAGTAAGAAAAACTTTTGGCCAGCAAAGGCCTTTTTTTACTCACTTTTTGTTAGTGACTTAATCCATAATCATTGAGAATTGACTATGTTCTGAGGTGCAGAAAGTAGTCTCAGTATATTGACTATGCCTTCACAGCCTACCAGTAACCTTCTACCTTCTTAAGTTCATCAACCCTCACATTAGTTGAAGAAACCCTGTCAAGAAGCACATGTATTTTATTCCTCAGCTCATACTTTGTTATAGTACCCGGACTTGTTCTGGGAACACTGTTAGGTAATAAGGGGTTTCTTTCCTATCTCTCTTCCACCTTTCTATTGATCCTAAGTCCTCCTTTCCCCTTCCTCTCCTAATTTTTTTTTTTTTATGTATTTTCATCCTTAATCTCTATTGAGCATAACGATGAACTCCTACTCACTCCAAAGTATTAGCATTTTTCAGAAAGTTCCATTATAAAGGTATCCTTTGGGCTAAGTTTGGAAGCATCTATTCTTATCCTAGATACTTGGGAGGCTGAAGCAGAAGGATTGTAAGATCAAGGCCAGTCTGAGGACCTTGCCTAGACCTTGTCTCAAAATAAAAGAAGCGAGAATGGTGGTGCACACTTGTAATCCTAGCACTCAGGAGGCTGAGACGGAGGATCACTGTGAGTTTGAGGCCAGTCTGGGCTACATAATGAGTTCAAGGTCACCCTGAACTACATAGCCAGACGTTGTCTCAAAACAGCAAGGAAAAGGAATGAGATGTATATAGCTCAGTGGTAAAGCGCTAATCTGTATGAGACCTGAGTCCTGGTACTATGATCAGTCAATAAGTAACTTTCTTTAAAGGTGCCTTTTGTTGAGGAATTTTTAGAACATACATAGAGAACTGGAAACCTTCCAGCCTTATAAGCCATATTTAGGGAGGAAGAAGAGTCTTTCTCTATGCCTACAACCATGGTGTATTTATTTTATTTTCAGTCCTTGTGAAACATTCAGAGATGGCAGTGTGGGGCAACAGAAGCAGAGTAAAAAGTATGCCCAGCAACAAAACAGTGTGTTTTCCTTTGGGAGTCCAGCTTCCATGCAAGACACAATTTCTAAAAGTGGAACCCATCTAGAGTTCGAGCTTCACAGGACATTTAAAGAAGGAGCAAACCACACTGCCTGTGATGTTGGTCTCTCTGTGTCCAACGGTAGTTTGAATGTCCCATCATATTACCAGTGGTGGTGAATCTGTGGCATGTGTGCTTCAGTAGGCTGTTAATGTCATTTTAGCTCTAAAAGGTTCACCATCACTGGCCTGAGAAATCACTTCCCTGGGAGTCTGTTCGTAAGGCTTAGGCCATCAGGTGCTCAGAGGCCCCTGAGCCAACACATACACACAGAGAAAAAGAGATTGTAAGTGTTTAAACTTTTCCAGAGCAGAGGCATGATAGCTCAGCAGACTAAGTGCCTGCTTAGGCAGCTGCAGGGACTGAGGTTTGATCCCTGGTACCACATGCTGTGCCAGCCACCAAGACTGGGCGTGGTGGAACACACCTGTAATCCCAGCACTAGAAAGGCTGAAAACAGAAGGATCACTGTACCAAATACACTTAAAAAAAAAAAGTTTTTCCAGAGAACATGGCATGTTTCTCTATAGAAAAATTCCTCTCTGAAACAGGTTTTTAAAAATTATTTTTGATGAATATTGGTAGGAGTTAAGTAGACTTTAGGTGGGGAGAAATTTCTCTGTCCTGGTAGTGGGTGCTTTAAGTACTGTTATTTGTTTCATTTGCCTAGAAAATTTACTTAATCCAGAAAATTCACTTAATACCTTCTGCTGCTGGGTGAAGAAGTTAATATTAGAAATTAGTATTTTTTACTTCAAGGTTAAAATACCTTGGCTAACATTGCTTATTTACCACCATATAAACTAAGGTTTTGTAACATTGGCATTTAATCAGGCTATGAAATTTTCTTCACCTGCTGTTCTTTTGCTCAGCTTGAAATTTCCCCTTTTTCCTGTGGAAAAATTGACCCTTTATATTAGAAACAAATGACAAGATGGTGCCTTCCGCTCATGTCTTATTTAAGGCTGGCCAGGTGTGGTGTCAGAAACTTATAATCGCAGCCTAGACTACATAACAAGACCCTGTCTCAGAAGAAGAAAGGAAGGAAAGGGAAAGGAAAAGGAAAAGGCTTGACTTTGGTATTAAGTCAAGGTGACTATATAGGGCCTGGTATATAAGCCTGACTGGAACTGTTAATTTCATACCCATTTTAAGTCAAGTCTGCACACTCTTTTTTCTTTGCCTTTAGTATGAAAAGACACAGACTGTACTCTCAGAACTGAAGTTGAAGTTTGAAATGACTGAGCAGGAAAAGCAATCAATCACAGATCAGCTCAAACAATGTAAAGACAACCTGAAGCTGCTCCGAGAGAAAGGAAATAATGTAAGTCTTTGCCAGCTGGCTTAGCTTTGATTGAAAGGAAGGTGAGATACTTGAGATTGAGTTTTCAGAAGACTTTATTGCTGAATTGGGAACTTAATGGCCTGGGATACTGATAAAATTTTATCATGTGTTTCATTATAAAATTCAGTGCTTAAGTAAGAATTTGCCCCCTTAACTTTTACCCCTAGAAGAGCCAAAAGACTCACCACTGGGCGTGGTGGTGCACGCCTATAATCCTAGCAGACCTGTAATCCTAGCGTTGGGGAATCTGAGGCAGGATTCCTGTGAGTTTGAGGACAGCGTGGGCTACATAATGAGTTCAAGGCCAGCCTGAACTAACCTACATAATGAGACCCTGTCTCAAAAGCAAAGAGCCTAAGGACTCCTAGAGGAAGAAGTACATGTTGATCTTTACTATTTGATTGTATTCAAAAGAGATTTGGTTTCATTTTCACTTTATATTAATAATATTCCCACTAAGATACCTTCCTAAAAAGCTGTTTGTGACATCTTACAAATATTAGGAAATATTTAGTGGTGGACTGGGGAGATAGCTCAGCAGCGTAAGCATCTGCCTGGCAAGCAGAAGGTCCTGAGTTCAATCTTCAGTACAGACAGACAGACAGACAGACAGAAAGAAAGAAAATACTTGGTAGGAATTTCAAAGCGTGCATGTTTGGGTGAGTGTGTCTGGCACAAAGCTAGGAGAAATTTTGGTATAAATTAAATTTGATAATGTTTGTTTTTCATTTGCTAGAAAGATCTTTTAAAAAGATTATACTAAATATATGTTGTGTTGTACGTTTGGTGATCATTGCCTTCGTGGGCCCTAACTGATAGTTGTTCAGTGTGATTGTGCTCTGACTTATTTCACACTCTGTCATAGCATGGACACTGCATTAGACCTGAGCCACATGCTTCCTGTGGAAACAGGCACCTTGCTTAACTTGCAGCCCAAGTATGAAAGTGATGTTGCATGGCCGTCCAGTTACGCAGTTGTACACAGAATGCTCATGAATTGTGTCCAACTGTCCTTCACATAGGAAAGTCTTAGATTTTAGGTAGTAAGGGATTACTACTTAGGGTAAGAGCCTTTTATAAATTAATGAATTGGATGTGAAAGCATCAAGGCAAAAGTTGATTGCAATTATTTTTTTAAATGTAGTTTACAGAATTCTAGAATCAAATCATAATGGTTTACTGACTTCTTTTATGTTAATTCATAACCCTCTGACTGTGGAATTTCAATCCACTTTCTGCTAAATTAACTCATGAAGACATCTAACATAATCAGAATGGGCAGTCCTTTTCCTCTGTATATCTGGAATCTTTCAAAAGTAATCATGCTGTTATTATTTATAGTTATAAAAAACAACAAATCTTACGGTGAATTTCTCATGTTGTAATATCAGGCTTATGGTTGTAAATAATTATCTTCTCACTTAACAATTCAGTTAGATTCTGGTATCATATCTGAAAGCCCTGAGAATCAGTTACCTGTCTTTATATGCAGGTGTTTGTTATGCATTATCACCTCAAACCTGCTTTAAGAAGTATGCCTTAGGCCAGGCATGGTGGGGTACACCTGTAATCCCATTACTTGGAGGTTGAAGCAGGAGGATCTCTGTGAGTTCAAGGCAAGCCTGAACTGCATAGTGAAACCCTGTCTCAAAAAGATCAAAAAAGAGAAGTCCTCACAGACTTTCTTTTTTAAGCTTGAAAGCAGTAACATCTCAAGCATAAGAGTTTTGGTTGAGAAGGTTTTTGATGGAGGGATAAAATAAACTATAGCTATTTCCAAGGAGATCTAACTACCCAAAAATGGATTTCAGGTAAAAGATGATGTACTGTCAAGCAGCATATCACTTGAAGTGTTTTGATAGCACAGCCTCAGGGTGCTGTTTCCTTAGGGTGTTAGGGACATCCACACTGACCATTGCCTCTGGCAGTGGTCAAGCTGGGTGTGGTGATGCACTGCTGTAATATCAGCACTGGGAGGCTGAGGCAAGAGCATCACTGAAAGTTGGAGACCAACCTGGGCTGTGCAGTGAGACCCTGATGCAAAAAAACAAAACCAAACAAAATAAATGCAGTCAGTTACAAACATAATGCCACAATCCATTGTTCTGGGTTGTGTTAGATGTCTTTTAAAATGTGTGAATCAGTGAGAAGCCTGGGTAGTATACTTCTCTTACGTCAGTCTTCCTTTCCTTCCTCCCACCTACCTGGGGTCTAAATCATCTTATCTGATTTTTTTTCATAGCATAAAATGATTTTAATATCCCTTCCCTTCTTCAGCCTTCCATATTACAACCCGTCCCAGCCGTATTCATCGGCCTATTCCTGGCTTTCCTGTTTTGGTGTTTCGGTCCATTGTGGTAGAGAAAGGTACAAGCACTACTGTTGAGTCCTTGTCTGTTTGTCCCCGTCATCTGTTTGTGCCATATTTGTAATGTAGTGCATGGCGAAACCACATGGGTATTTTATTACCTGAAGCAAACCCTTCATTTAGTATGCCATGTATTTGTGTCATACCAGTGAATGAGTAGTCAACTAATCACATAATGTTTTGTCTTGTTTCCTTTGTAGTAATGCTAACCAAGAATTAATTCTAACCTAACCATCTGTTAATATGCTTCCTTTAACTGAGTCTTTATCTCTAGCAAACTGGAGTATGCAGTGAATTTCTGCAATATTAATATCTACTTCCCAATTCTGTGTTTTAATCAGATTTGGTTGAGAAATGAAGAGTTTGCCTCTTTGAAGTTTTCAGCCAGCTTTCTTGCCCTTCACTTCCCTACTCCATTCCTTAGTGTAGAATTTCTTTGTTTCAGCCTTCTGCCTGTTTGCACTGTGGCTATTAAAATGAAGGAACCACACATGGTGGCACACACCTGTGATCCCAGCACTCAGGAGGCCAGTGCAGGAGGACTACAGTGAATTTGAGGCCAGCCTAGGCTCCAGAGTGAGTTCAAGGCCAGCCTGAACTGCATAGTGAGACCTTGTCTCAAAAAAGAAGGAATAAGAGTAGTATAATGAGCCATTGCCACACAATCTCAACTCCAATATGAATTTACTTGTGAAGGTATATATGCTATCCCAGGGGCCAGGGATATGGCTCAGTGGCACAGCACTTGCCTGGCAAACACAAGGTTCTGGGCTTGATTCCCAGTACCAAAAAAAAAAAAAAAAAAAAGCTGTCACATATCTTCCTAAACCCTAATCTGCAAATCAGAATATTTCTTTGCAAAATTACTTTCTTGGTAAGACTCTTAGAATACTACTAAAAATGAAGATACCAATCAAAGCAAATTAAGATTATAAAGCCCTCTGAAACTTAACAAGGAATAGCCCAACCATGCTTACCTGTAATTGGCATATGGATTAGAAAAGCATATAAAAAAACAAGAGTCAGGCCTGGTAGTACAGACCTGTAATTTCAGCATTCTGGTAGGATCACAGCTTGACTCCATCCTGGGTACCTTAACTACTCAGTTGACACTACCTCAAAGTAAAAAGGAATGGAGATGCAACTGAGGGGGAAAGGCCCCAGGTTCAATCTTTGGTACCACCAAAAAAAAAAAAAAAAAAAAGTGACATAGCTTTATTACATGGACCAACTTCATCAGACAAACTGAGCTGGGTATAGTGACACATCCCTGTAATCCCAGCACTTGAGAGGTTGAGGCAGGAAGATCACCATGAGTTTGAGGCTGTCCTGAACTATAGTGAGACCTGTCTCAAAAAGAGAGAGAGAAGAAGTATTAGACAGGTAAGATTGCTGGCTAGGAATGGTGGCACATGCCTGTATTCCCAGTACTTGGAAGGCTCAGGCAGAAGAGTTGCTACATGTTTAAGGCCAGCTGGATTACAAAGCAAGACCCTGTCTCAAAAAAAGGAAAAAAGACAAGATCCCAATAGCACTTGACCCTCCTCTGGTTTTGTCTCAAATTAAAGGACCAAACGTCTAGCCTGAGCCAAGTGTGGTAGTGCAGGTCTGTAACCCCACCACTGAGGAGGCTGAGGCAAGAGGATCACTGCGAGTTGGAGGCTAGCCTCCTTTACATGGTAAATTTAAGGGCAGTCTGAATTGCATAGTGAGACCTTTCCAAAAAAAAAAGCCTAGCCCTTTTTCTTTCTTTCCCTTAGCCACCAGCCCCTGTATACACTTATTCCAACAGCTCAGTCTGGTTTTCATCAAGAAATAAACATTTCAGGCAAAAGCGTACTACAGACATCAGTTATATATTCATCACTTACGTTGGAAACCAGAACACAAAGCGGGCAGAGCACATAGGGCTTTTAGAAGTCACCAATAGGAAGGAGGCTAGACTTGTTTCTCTGTGGAAGAGCACTTGCCTGGTGTACACAGACCCTGGGTCTCATCCCTGGCCCTCCCAAGCAAAGATGAAAAAAGTTACTGCTGGGTTTTAATTATCAAAGTTGAAAACAGCCTAGGACTTTCCTGGGATGTATGGTAATGGTCCTGGTACAGGCACGATCTTATACATGCACGGTCTTTCTGTTTTTCTTTCTTTCTCCCCCACCTTTTTTCTTTTTTACTCTTTTTCTTTTTATACTTTATTCTTACAATGCAAAGACAGGATTGTTGCAATGTTCTGTTATGTATTTAGGACTCTTCCGGAACCAAGGCTGATAGGTATGAAAAGAGGGGACAATGTGATATTGACTCTTGGTTTCTTTCCACACAGAAACCTTGGCCCTGGATGCCCATGTTGGCTGCCCTGGTTGCGGTGACAGCCATCGTGCTGTATGTGCCAGGTCTGGCCAGAGCTTCTCCATGAGAGCGTTTCTTGAGTCCGTACACCGTCCTCCCTCTAGAAGCTGGCATCACACTCATGCTGGGGACAAACAGAACCATTTTCTTCCTTTTTACCTCTTAAAACAACAGAAGTGCAAGAACACGATGTAGGGTCATTGCTTTAAATTATATAAAAATGTATCTGTCTATAGAGAGAATATAAAATTGTGACTTTATTCTACTGTAAGCAATAATTTGCTTGCAATTTTTCATGTAATTTTTAAATTAGTATGTTGAGATTCTGAATATTATGATAGCCTAAAGTAGGCTTCTTGGTATACCAAATTATTTATACCATTAAATTTATGGTATTTTACTCCGAATTCTGATGGCCACATAATTTGTCTTTCTGATTCGATAACCACCCAAAGCAAACAACAAATACATACATGGGAAGAGAGGCCCTGTGTGCTCAGTGCCTATTAGTTTGAAATATATGCACATATATATATATATATATTTTTTACATATTTACGCCATTTTTACTTGTTATAAAACCACTGAGCTATTGGGAACAAGTTAGAGACAACTATTTGTGTGGATTTTTTTTAAAGGAAAAATACATTTGGAAAATATTCTGTTATAGTGCTAATTTGGAGAATATGTGCACGCTTGTTCAGCCTTAATGTGACTTGAAGATGTGGAGGACATCAACTTTGAAAAACTTTCCATGAGAGTGTGTATTTTCTTGAGCAAACTGAAGTATTTCTGGGAGCAAAAACTAGTAATTACACAATTTCAGTGCAGTCAACCAAACTGTTAAGTCAATTGGAATGTAATTTATTAAACCTCATGTATTTAAAGAGATACTTTTCTTTAAAAGCCAAGTTACTTTCTCATATACAGCATTTTAGGAAGCATGATTTTTTTTTTTCTGTCATCTGTTCCTCCAAGCATGTTTAATTGAAAAAAGAATTATATCTCTTTAGATAAGCTTTTATTGACTTAATTTGGTTATGATGTTTCAGAGAATTTATGTTCAAGGTGAGCTGTTGTTACCTACCAACAGATATCCTGGTTGGGAATACAAATGATTATTTTCTTTTTATTGTAGTTAATTGGGACTTTATGTTAATTGAAGCACTATTCCAAGATTGATAGTGTTCCATGCACAGTAAGCACCTGGACACTGCTTGATGTTATAAATTTAAAACACAGAAGTGAAAATTAGCTATGGTTTTGTGCAGCACCATAGTTATGTCAATAAAGTTTATTTAGTTATAGAATATCCTCAAGTATCACATAGTTAAATTTTTCAGTCAGTAAAGACTAGGAGGGAAAGTCAGTGAATTGGTTTGAATGTTCTGTGGAAATACACAGGTCTAGCCAAATATTGAAAGGAGTTAAGGCTATAATTTGCCTTGTAATGTTTGGCAGTCATTGTTCATACTCTAAAGGTTATATTTTAAGCTGTTTGGAATTGCTGTTGGGAGGATCACTAGATTTATGATGGAATTAGTCACAAATGACTTGTAGAAAATACTGTCATCTAGTTCATCATTTTCTGTTGCAAGAAGCCACTCCACCACAGAATGCTGATATGCCAGTGGTACCCAGTACCTCTTGTATATAGGTTATTGCAAATATTGTTCTGAAATGCTTAACTTCAGAATTACATTTTTTAAAGTAAATAATTGTTTGAAATCTATTTTGTAAAGATATAAAATACATTAGAATTTCTGGAGTACAGATTAAACTATTTGCACTAACACACGTGATGTGCATGATTTAATAAAATAACTTTACTCTCCCTGTGCATGTTTGAGTCGGACGTCATTGACATTCTTAGCGCTGACTGCTGTCCGGTTGTTAGTCTGTCCTCCACATGGCTCTTTATGCAACATAGCACATGTGTTTGTTTGCTGTTCTTCAGGGTTTAAAAGAAGACACAGAGCTGTTTCCTACAGGTTTTATTGGTCTTTTATTTAACTTCTCTAATTTTTTTCTCCTTTTCATATGGTTATTGTTAAAATGTGACTTGTCAGACAAGACCCATTAAATATCAGGTCTAGTATCAAAGATTTACTTTATTCAAATTTAATAAATGGGTTTTTATAGTTTTTTTTTCTCAATATAAATGAGCCAGCCTGTTCATTAACAGTACCTCCAATTTTGTTCAGTTTGCTTCCAAGTCAAATCAAAAGTAGGACTATTCAACTCTATAATGATACATTTAAAATGTATCATGGGCCAGGGAGATAGCTCAGTTACATAAATGCCTGCTTGGCAAGTGCAAGGTCCTGAGTTTGATCCCTGATACACACACACACACACACACACACACACACACACAAATTATTCAACAGAAGCTGTGCATAGTGCCTCATACCTGAAATCCTTCCTGTAATCCAGGAAGCTGAGGCTGGAAGATCACATCCCATCATAGATAATTAAAGACCTCGTGTCAAAAATAAAGAATATAAAGGGCTGGGGGTGTAGCTCAGTGTAAAGGCCCTGTTTCAATCCATAGTACTGCATAGTATTTATATAATACATTTTCAAAGGTGCTACATGACAGGGTCAGAAAATGAAAACATGGTATTTAAAATTAAACTGATCTAGTTGAGTATTATGACACATTCTTGTAATCCCAGAATTTAGGAGGCAGAGGCAGGAAGACCACTGCAGTTTGAAGTCAGCCTGTCTACGTAGTAAGTTCAGTGCAGCCTGAACTGCGTAGGTCTCAAAAAAAGTTAAATAACTATGTATTGACTTCTATTGATTTTGTTACTTTGGACAAATCACTTTTCTGATCTCCACATAGTAGAGAGAATAATATATTTGTGATGATTGTGTGAAAATTTAAAAGATAATGTATGTGAAATACCATTCAATAATTGTAATAAATAATTGTTTAGAGAATGTCCTACTGAAAAATTGTTTTAAATATTAAAGTTTTAGGTGGACCCAGTACATCTCTTCCACACACACCTGGGGTTGTGGTCTTTTTTTGTTTGTTTGTTTGTTTTTCTTTTTTCTGCTTTTTGAGACAAGGACTCATTATGTAATGCAGGCAGGCCTTAAACTCATTTATATAGCCTTGGCTGGTCTCATACTCACTTATGTAACCCTGGTTGGCCTCAAACTCAGAGTGATCTTCCTGTCTCAGCCTCCTAGTCTCAAAAAAATCAAAGGTAGCGGGGCATGGTGGCACACACCTGTTAACACTCAGAAGGCTGAGGCAAGAGGATCATTGCAAGTTTGAGATCGGCCTGCCTACAAAGTGAGCTCAAGGCCAGCCTGTGCTACATAGCGAGACCCTACCTCAAAAAGACAAGAATAATAAGGGCTGACCAGATAGCTCAGCAGACTAAAGTGCCTGCTTAGGCAGAGCACAGCGGCCAGGGCCTGGCGTGCCATGCCGGCTCCGCCCCCTGGGTGCATGAGACAGGCGATTGAGACTGGACGTGGTGGGGTGTGTTTGTTTGTTTGTTTGTTTGTTTGTTTGTTTGTTTGGTGGAACTGGGGATTGAACTCAGGCCCTTGCGCTTGCCAGGGAAGCACTTATTCCACTGAGCCATCTTTCCGGCCCCGGGTGTGTTTGTAATCCCAGCACTTGGGAGGCTGAAAACAGGAGGATCACTATGAGTCCGATTTGTGTAGTGAGACCCTGTAGACCCTGTACTAAATACATTTTTTAAAAAGACCAAAAAAAAAAAGATGAAGGCCACTTATTTGATAAGCATTTGATTGTAATGTTATAAATAGTAAGAAAGTATCTTCACCTGTCTGTCCCTTTCATAGTTGTCTTTTTCAGAAGTACTGTAGTTTGATGATGAACCAATTGCCCATAACAGTTTTAGAATTCTTGTAATAGCCTTTTAGAGCTGCTTTGAATCATGTGTGAAAACCAGTTCCATTGCTTTATAGTCAGAAGCTTTCAACCTAGAATAGTTTTAAATAGTTGGATCTCACTTTATTTTATTTTATTTATTTTTTTATTTCTAAGTCTTGTCTCCCATCTCAGCCACATTGGTCCTAGTGCTGCTCTCAACTCCTCCTCAGGTACTGGAATGAACCTCCTCACGCTGGCATAGGACCTACTGAGCTTGGCTCTGCTGTTTTGTCCTGTAACAAAGTTGCCCTCCACACTCAGTGCTGACTAGAACAGCAGCAGCAATCAGGACATCCAAGAACAGCCTCCTAAACTGGGTGTGGTTACTCGTGCCTTCATGTTGGAGACTCAGCCTGGGTTACAAAGTAAGTTCAAGGCCAGCCTGAACTGTGTAGTAAAACCATCTCAAAAAACAAAAGATTTCAAAAAATAAAATTGCCAAAGCAACCTCTCCCTGTTCTTAGCCTCTGGAGGACTTTTTGTGTAACCCTCCTCATAGCCTGAGCATTTTAGCCACCAGAGTCATGTAAATATTTCTATTATTAAGCTCCTAAGGCAGGGGTCTGCATTAGTAAGCTCCATTCTGCTGTAAGGTTATGTCCTGGGGATTTTCAGAGATTCTCCATGTTGACCCCAAAGGACGAACTTCAGTGCCCACAGAGATTCAGATCTCTGGATCCCTGGCTTTGGGAGCAGGATATGTTCCATACCAGGAAGCTTAAGGGGTCTGTTGGGTGATCATACCTTTTTTCCAGTTCCTATGTATTTTTGAGACAGGGTGTTACTATGCAGTTCAGGCTGGCCTTGAACTCACAGTGATCCTCCTGCCTCAGCCTCCTGAGTGCTGAGACTGTAAGTATAGCCACCATGTCCAGTGGGTGCTGCATTGGTTTAGTACAAGAAAGGGTTTGGACACTTTGCTCCATTTCTCCTCAGAGCATACACACAGCTGAGCACCTTAATTCAGCACACACAGACTCCCTAGTCTTTGTAACTTTTTATTGTGTCACAATTTCAGATTTATAATTGCAATAATACAAGAAACTAGTATTTACCCTTCACCCAGATTTGTTTTGCTCCATTGCCTGACTGTGTATGTGTTTACAGACTTTATTTTCTGAATTGTTCTCCTTTGCCTATAGACTTCAGTGTGTAGTTCCTAAAAACAAAGACCTTCTCTTGGATTTTTATATCATATCAGAAGTGCTGGTTCTTGCCCTAATTTGGTGTTTACTAGCATTTAAAGGGTGGGGGAAGGGAGATCTTGTGCTCTCAGGGAATTCCTTAGGTTGCCTAAGCATTTGTCTTCTGACTAGATCCTGTCTAGACCAAAATCTACCCCGAAAATTGTGGGATGGAGTCACTGTGGGGAAAGTCTAGCAATTGTTTTGTCTCAGCTATTCTTCTCTTGTTGCTGGGACAAATACCCGGCTCTCAAAATTAGGAAAGGAAAGATTTATTTAGCTCCCAGTTAGTGAAAGTTTCAGTCCATACTCAGCTGGCTCCAAGGCAGACTGGCACATGGCAGAGGTCAGCAGTTAATAGAGGTGGCAAAGAGCAAGAGCAAGTGGGAGGACTATCGGCAACAATGGCTAGAGAGAGCAAGCCCTAAAATTGCATTCAGGCTATAAACCCCAGGCTGGGTGCAGTACTCACACCCATAATCCCAGCAGCACTCACACCAATAATCCCAGTGGATCATGAGTTAATTACAAACTCTAGAAGTCTGCCCCATGACTGTATGAGGCTTAGGGGGAGAGGGGGACAACTAGACACAAACCATAACAGTTTTGGGGGGAAAATGAAAGTGTGGGCCAGGCAAATGACTGTAATCTCAGCACTCTTTGGGAGGCTGAGGCAAGAGGATCTTTTCAAGTTCCCAGCCTGGGCTACAAATTGAGCTGAAAGGCAGCCTGAACTACATAGCAAGACTCTGCCTCAAACAAACTAAGGCCAACTGGGATTTGGTAAAGGTGGCATGGCTTGAGCTACAGGGTGCAGCAGGCTCACATAGAAAGGGAAGAAGTTGCATACTGCACTTATAGGGAAAGCTGCTGTTCCATCCTAGCCCCTGCAACCTGGGGCAACAGCTAATCCTAATGTCCCACCTAAATGCCCTCCAGCATCTGAGCTGGGAGCCTCAAACCCCTCCTGCGCTTACTCAAGTTCTCTAAGACTGAGGCTCAGGGGCTTCTAGAGGAGCAAGGTACAGCCCCTCCCATTAGGGTCCCACTTTCCTTTTTTTTTTTTTTTTTAGGGAGCCCCCCCCCCCAACCGGGGATTGAACTCAGGCCCTTGTGCTTGCCAGGCAAGCACTTATTCTACTGAGCCATCTCCTCAGCCCCTGGTCCTGCTTTCTTAATGAGGCCTCCTAAAATAAATGTGCAGGTGAAACAACCATTTTCTTTTTCAAAATATGAAGATAATACATGCTTCTTGTGGACACAATGCAAAGTATAGAAAATTATGAAGAAGGAATGCAGACCTGGTCTGCTTACTGTGTCCCCTGTCAGCTCCTGCTGTGTCAGCTGATCATGCTGTGGTAGCTGAGAACTACACTTGGGTCGGCAGAGCTAGTCATCATCCTGGCTTTCCCATTTCTAACCTAACGTCTTTTTTTTTTTTTTTTTTTTTTCTTTGGAACCGGGGATTGAACTCAGGCGCTTGCGCTTGCCAGGGAAGCGCTTATTCATAACACAGCCATCTCCCCGATCCCCTAACCTAACTTCTTTGAGACCTAGTTTCTTCTTCTATACAACCAAATAATATTTATACCTATATGTGTAAGTTTTGTTTTGTGGAATTTTTTTTAGAACAATAAGCACCTTTATTACATAAGCTAAACCAGGAGGGTGTTTGTTTCTATTTGAGATGGGGGGGTGTCTCACTAATTTGCCCACACTGGTCTTGAATTCACAATCCT